ATAATGTCTGAATCATTTTCTTCTTTGCTAAAAAGTGCCACGTTTACTAAAAGAAAAATCGGGGGTGTGGCCTTAAACATAATTTCTCCGATATATGAGACCTTCTATTCAAATTATCATGAAATAACAACTGCTCCCAATACTATACACGTACCGTAATTCCATGATGGAAGTAAAAAGAGTCCCTTTGTATGTAAAAGAAGTATAACATTGATTAGGTAAGAACGCTTTTAGAATATACTAGTATACAAATATAGCCTTTTCATGAGGACGATCCGATGTTATATCGTTTTCACAGAAAATCATAACGATAGAATAAGAAGAATGAAGTTGAAATGGTTTTCTGTGAACTCGATATATCTATTGACGGAATGAAAGGGCTACTTTGTTATACTACTTCCACAAAGATTTTTTTTTTCTTAAAAATATTTTTAAAAGGAAGTCTGTCAAATTGTAATTGAAAAATGTATTGTTATAAAGCACAGGTCATTTCAACGATTAACCACATTAGCTTAAAATGAATCTTGGTTGATTTGAATGACATACTATAGCGAACCACGATCATTTTAATGGTAATAATATTTTCCGAATAATTTTTTTTAAAAAGTACAGGTCTATCTGAGTTGTATGTTTAAATTTAGAAAGGCCCGATCTCATCGCATTTCTATACTATACGAGGTAATGATAAAATTCGCTACAATGTCTGAACACAATATTGAATGATATCATCCTTTAGAATTCTTACGTTATATCACCTTATTCAATTTGAATGGGTGATATAACCTATTTGAATAGGTGATGCCACTAAATGGCAATAAATAGCGCCTTACACAAATGGACAACCATGAAACATGTGGAGATATAGAAAAGTATTCGAGCTCAAAAGTTCATTAAACATAACAAAATTGGAGCGGAACAAACACGGACCTCCAAAACATCAGAGGTGGGATCAGATGCCACGGAGGAGTGAGCATCCTCCTACCGACCGGTCACATCCGCCATGTGCTCCTTGTCATGTTCAGAGAATAAAAAAGAAGGGAAAATCCGTGGAAAACTCTGTGTGTAAATAATGGACTAACAAATAGTATGAAAAATGTCAGTCAGCGTTTGAGAGATAAATTGTATTTGCTGACAAAGGCATAGTATCAACCATAGAATCTACGAAATTATTACTTTAAACGGGACTGATGATATTCCTGCTTCGTCAATTTGTTTGTTATATACGTACCTCGTTTTAGAAATAATTGTTCATACGTAGAGTATGCTCTTCCGTATCGAATTAACTGAGAGATATAAACTCCGTATGCAGGTGACAAAGTATATTGCTGCATAAGTAAGGGAAGTCGACGATTGAAAACTTAAAGTCATCACGTTTATTAGAGCTTGGTTGTTAGATTGCCATCAACGTCTTTTCAAGCAAAATATCCAAATATGAAACGGATATTTTATACTCTGTGGTATCTCTAATCTCAAGCTTACCGGAATATATCGTATCGACATAAGAATGGAAATTGTTAATTGACAATACGCCGTCGATTTATCTATATGTCTACATGAAGGCCACAACAAGTGTTTTCTTCTTTTCACATATAAGATTTTGGACAAATTCTGCTATAAAGAATACAAAAATAAGTCTGCTAATAACGGGGTAAAATTGGTACCCATATGGGAATTCCAATAAATTGTTTGAAGACCTAGTCCAAAAAGCATCTTTTTGATCTCAACTTCAGATTACTTGTGTGTACAATCAGAACCTTTTTGTACAAAATAATTTTGCACATTACTAATGACAAGATTAGTAATGACGAGATCCATTTTTATTAAATAAAAAAAAAGCAGCTGTCAATGACATCAAAAAGCCTGGAATTTATCGTTGAGAAGGGTTGTGTATAAAGTTGAAAATTCGTAAATTTTTAAGCTATTGATTTTGGTAAAATCCTGTGATTTAAAATTTTCAAAAAGTTCCTTGGAATTTTTAAAGTATCCATATCTGATTTACACCACTTCTCGATTATATTATTGCAAAGTACTCTAGTAGTTTCTCCTTCACTACTGTTAATATCCTAGTGAGAAGTAAAGAAAGAGGCTTAGTTGAACATTTACTGGAATGTTGAATATTTACTATGTACATGAATCTTTGTAAGGATTTTTATGAAATTTCAGGATCCAATACAGTTACGGTAATTCAAATTCATTTGGGCTGTTTAAGATATTAAAGATATTCAATACTGACAAACGATTTTGAAAATTTTCTTTCTTAGAAAGGGAACTATGAGTATAATTTGGATTACCACTTGTAGAATGAAATCAAAGTTCCTCTAAAATAAAATTTACATAATGAGCCTTACAAACGAAGAAAATGTTGTTTTTGCTTTGTCAGTAGGGACCAGTACGTACTGATTATGTAATCTATCTAATTCTTTTTTCACCCCCACAGAAGGATAGATGGTTTTCATATTGTCCCTCAATCTTTTAATACGCGATTGTTATATTGATCTGATACACATTAAAAAGTAAATCAAAGTTACAAAGTTTGTACTATAATAAATCAATATTCCAACGTTTCCACAGTAGTAAATCAAAGTTTCAAAGTTCTCACTAAAGTAATGAAATATATAGAGATAGCAAACAGTATTCAAGCTCAAAAGTCCATAAAACAATACAAAATAGGAGCAGAGCAAATACGGACCTCCAAAACAGTAAATCAAAGATCCAAAATTTATACTATAGTTAATTAAAGATTCAAAAGTTTTTTTTCCTAAACTTTATCAAAGTTTCTAAGTCTTTTCATTAGATTAACGACTTACGTATTTTTTATTATTTTTTTTATCATATAGCCGTTTTTCGGGGGTAATATGGGATTGGTTGGGGCTGGGTTTTGTTGTGCATCTTAATTTTTAAAATATACAAGGTAGTTAATTCAAATGCAATATTTACATTTTTCAATTTTTTTTAAAAAAAATATACATATTGAATGGAGTTGATGAAGCAGATATTTTGATTCTAAAAGGCGCGAATTTTATTTATAGTATAAAAGTTTTTTCTCCAGAAACAAGACTTACGGTATTTCTGCATAACATTAAAATTAAATAGATTTAAATAAATATTGCTTAAGTATCGCGGTGCAAGAGACAACTTTTACGTCATATTTCAATTTTTGAACATTATTCTTTTAGGGGAGGGGGTGGGTTAAAAAGTCCTCTGAATTAAGCTTTTATGAATCTTAACCTGGAAATGTCATAAAATGTAAAGAATGGGAATCAAAAACATAATTCCACGGGTTTCTGTACTGTATCAAAGTTTCAAAGTTTTTTCTATAATAAATCAAAGTTCCAAAGTTTTCAATATAGTTAATAAAAGTTCAAAAGTTTTTACTGTAGTAAATCAAAGTCACAAAGTTTTTAATATAGTAAATCAAAGTTACGAAGTTTTTACTATGGTACTATAGTTAACTATAATTAACTATTGTTAGGGCGGAGATAATGAAAAATAGTGATCCAACCCTAACCCTTAGAGATGTTTTGAATAAACGAGCTTAATTGTTAATATGACTTCTGAAAACTTTTTCATTTTTAGGACGATTTCTTATTTTTTTTTCTAATTTGATTTCCTTAGTGGTCAAAGACAAACCTGCAGAATCAATATAAAAAAAGGCGTCTTTACAGTATTACTTTATAATGCTTTTGTATAAATATTACTAATTGTGGCTTTGAAATTCCCGAGAAGATGATTTTAAAGATATTTCCCATATTTCCCATGTACAAATCTGATACCTTGCTGTGGCCCAACTTTACCACCTGGGAGCATGATTTGAACAAATTTGAAGGTACACTACTTGAGCATGCTTCTACATATTACTACTAATCATGGCTTTTCTGGTCCTCAGAAGACGATTTTAAAGTCCATTTTCATATATATCATTATATAAACTTAATTTGAACCCCTTTTGAGGCCCTACCCAACCCCGGAAGTCTTGATTTGAATAAAATTCAATAAACACTACTTCAGGATGCCTCTGTAGGATTAATGCTATTCATGACTTTGGGGAGGTTTTAAAAGATACTTCCAATATGTTCCTATGTATAACTTTGATCCCCTGTTGTATCACCATGCTTCCTCTGGGGTCATGATTTAGAAAACCTATATCTGCACTACCTGAGGATGCTTCCAGAAAAGATTAAACGCTTCCAGATACTGTGTAGTTTAAGTTAATTCAAATAATGATCTCCGTGAGTTTACGGTGAGACCACTTTGGACAAGTTTTACATGGGTGAAAATAGGGATTTTTTTCCGAAATCTTCCTCTCAAGAAAAGGAAAGCAATGATCAGTTATATTGAAATGAAAACATACTCAGGTAGTGTTAATTCAAATTTGTTCAAATTATGACTCCTGGGGGTAGGGTAGGGCAACAATAAGCAATCAAAATATTACTTATATGTACATAGAAAAATCTTTTAAAATCTTCTTCTAAAGATCAGCATAGCCACGATCATATTGATATAAAAGCATCCCCAAATAGTGTAGTTTCTGATTTGTTCAAATCATGACCCCCGGTGGGAGGGTAAGACTACTTTAAGGGATCAAAACTTTACATGGATTTAAATGTAAAAATGCCACATTCTCTAACACGTTCTGTTACATGCATATCACTTACTAGTATCATAAATAATAATTTGTGTTAACAACGCTTCTCTCAACAGTATAGTATCATAAGGGTGTCACAAAGGTCTCCACAAATAATCACACTTCACATTGGGGCGGTTGTGACCGGTCGGCAAAGAATGCTCACTCCTCCATGGCACCTGACCCCATCTCTGATGTTTTAGAGGTCCGTATTTATCTGCTCCTATTTTCAATAATGTTTACTGAACTTTTGAGCTCTAATACTGTTCGGTATCTCCACATATTTCATTTCAAATAGTTATTAACTAGTGCTATTTTTCTCTGAATAATATCAGTGTTTGCCATAAATGATCAAAGACAAATCGATGCTACTTACCCCTCTCTTGACAAACGGTGCCACGTGTGCGCCACAAATGATCACCCCCGTGAGACAATTCCAATCGAAGGTAACAGCATTTGGCGGAAGCTCAGACATTGGACTGCCAAGAAATAAAAAAAAAAATACACAGCTATATACATGTGTGTCATCTTATACTTTACAAATCGTGTGTAATGATCATCAACTTTTCTTTTGCATTGCTAAAAACAAATGGTCATTTGATAAACAAAAATAAGGTTCGTGACGAAACGTCCAGTCTTTCATTTATCAAACAAACTCTGCCTTGACTAGCACATAACATGCATATTTAAGAATTTTTAAAGAGCTTTCTTACTTAGTTACCATGGTGTTAAAAGACATGCACATAAGATACTGCTATATTTCACGGGATGAATCAAATAATTCTAAGACATAAACATATACATGTAGTATTTACATAGTACATGTATAGTAAAAATGTATATGAAAATGAAAATATTCATATTTCCGTTTTTAGAAACACTTTTTACAAGAATTTCTAATGCTTACCATCGCATTTTTTCAAATGCCATGGTTTTAACACAAATTAAGGTATTAAAGGAACTGAATTATTTAAGTGTTGCTTAGGTTTATTACGAGAAAATACAAACAAATGCATAAAGAATTCTGTCAGCATTTGGTATATATTCAGGTTGCTTGTTAACCAAAAAAAATATGCTTATATGCAACTTCATCGTCAAAAACTGCTCAGATTGCAATTTTTAGGACTGAGCAGAAGATAATCAGATTTCTTAATCAGATTCAAGTGCTAAGCACGTTTCCTCCGCACTCTACGTCTCAGTTTTCCGTCAACACGGCAAGAGCAACAGAGAGAACGTTTGACATACTTCCTGTTAAATAAAAGTTCCTTAATTAAGAGTAGTTTTTTTTCTGAATTAATAAATTGTGAGAACAATGGTTAGAATGAAGCACTCTGTGTGAATTGATCGTCTGGTAGACGAAACTGGAGTTTTTCGGTGTGTATAGAGGATACACACACTTATCGCGCGGAAATAGTAAATCAATACAATTCACAATTTTATAAGTGTATAAAGGGCTATATCAGAGAGAGAGAGAGAGAGAGAGAGAGAGAGAGAGACTTTTGAAAAGTCAAATCTCAAGAATTTCAGCGAAGAGGTCATTTCATATTAAAAATGATAGGCTTACCTCCTCCATCTTAATGCCGTGTGATAAAATTTGTATAATACACCTTTTAAAAACAAATATTTTGAATCTGAAAAGGAAGCATTTCACAAATTTCTTCCTTTCTCATTGATATCGACAACACGTTCCCTCACTGTTTCTCTATTTCCTTCTCATTTCAATTACACAGGTTTTATAAGATAAAAAATGGCAAACGGTAGTGCAAATTATTTTACATATTTTTAAATTAACACTATACATCGTAAATTACTGAGCCTATTTTAAGTTTTCCACAACGAGTACTAATATTATATCGTTTTACAACCATTCTTCATGATTATTAACATAGATGCTGTCCGGATCGATTTCGCCTTCTTTTGTGGTCGCACGTGTTCCGACTGGGGAAGTTCCTGCAAATCGATTTCATTACATAAACTGTAACTCATCAGATGTTAATATCACAAGTATAATAAACGATGAAGCAAATGTATCCAAGAATGTATCACTATCTAATCTGATGAATGCTTAGTCGGAATCTTCAAAAAATATCCATTATTTGTATCCCAGTCTACGATTATTATCAATGTTAATTTTCAAAAGTTGGGACGCTCTTGAAAAATAAAAATACAATTATCTTTTGCATGCAACATAAAATGTTGGCTTTGAAACAAAGTAAAAATATGGGCATTTATTTGCTTATTTATATTTTGTTGTGAAAGTCTACTTTGAATAGTTTTTGCATAAGTCTTAAATAAAAATATTTTTTAGCATTGCCTTCTACGTCCAACTGAGTTGAAATGTAAAGTTTTTTTTTTAAATTTTTAGCTATGGTTTATAATTGCTTTTATTTTTATCGATTTATAACGAAATTTATTTCGTTTATTTACTTTAATTCTCCTTCCCCTTGCTTTTAATAAGCAGAAACGTTTCTAAAGCGTAAAATTAAGAATAAGTAAAAATTACATACTTGGTATAATATACCTTTGACTTTGGGGAATTCAAATAATCCAAAAATGCTACCAGTACTTAAGAAAACCTAAGATCAAACTGCATTCCCATATGGCATTAATGAAACTTTGAATGACGCGTGATCACAAGAGATTTCCTTCCTGTAGATTCTAATCATTTACTATTTAGAGAGAATTTTGTTTCCTTTTATAGGCATTTGAATGATTCATTGAAACTGATATCTATGTTACCATAAGTCCGAAAGTCTAAGGACATACGCCAAAATTCGCAAAAGTCCGATGGTGTGCAGAAAAAACAATGTTAATGACGTCATAGTACTACTGCGCCGCTTTAAAAAAAAATAAATACAAATAAATATAAAATACGAGGACTTACCGTCATCTCTCTAGGTTAAGTGTGAGACTAACATTTATCGGTTGAGAAGTGTGTAACAACTAAAACCTTAAAATGAATATCTCACGTGGGAGACTAACCTAGACTAACGGGCAAATAATGTGCAAGGACTTACCCTAAATCACTTGGGTTTTTCCAAAACTATTTTATAAATAGTCTACCAATCCCTTGACAGTCGAGTGGTTAGCGAGGACTAACCTTTTAACATCTTTGATTGGTGCAAGCAATAAGTAAAACCAGTAAAATTGTACGTGAGGACGAAATCTGAATTCATGGCTTTTGAAGGACAACGGTACCAAGGATTAACATCAGAATTATTTGTGATGTCATTAACGATGATTGTTTCTCCATACGATCGGACTTTAGCGTATCAGAATCCAAAGTCCGATGATCACGCCAAAGACCGATGTTCTCGCCAAATTCGATAGTCTCCGCCAAACCCACACATGCTTTGGTCCGATGGATCGTTTCCTTGGAGACGCGATGCGCTTAAGTTCTAAGGTCTGGGACGCCTAAGCCAGATATTGCAAAGAAAGGTTCAACGTTAATGACATCACAATATTCCAACGTCAATCCTAGACCTCGTTTGTGCTACTCAAACCATCAATTCAATTTTACAGATTTTATTGCTTATTGCTTGCACCCTTAGAGATAATAGGGTAAGTCCTTGCACTCCATTCGATTAATACAGAGTAATTAGGGGATATCTTACCATCAAACAAAGATTCATGGTTCTCGCACACTATTTCACTGATAAAGCTTGGTCCAGTTCCAATCCAAGATATCTAGATTATAATTGATACACATGAATTTTCGAACGATGAGGGTGAGTCTCGCACCTAGGCGAAAAGTTAAGAGTTATTTCTTGCATTTGAATACTTATTTGTATTTATTTAGAACCATCAGCTCTCGACATGGTGCGGCATTGCAATTCGTCGTTGCTGTACTATGACGTCATGAACGTTATAATCATTTGTTCGCACCATAGGACTCAGGCGTTTCTATCCAACAGGAATTGGCGCAAACCATCAGTTTTGGAGTGATCATCAGACTGGCCTCATTGAGTCCTACGTATACATATATCAGACTCTCCAGATATATACGATATTCAACCCGATACATGTGTATTTTTGAAGACAGTCTCTAGCCATCCTAATAATTAAGTTGCTTAAGTTGTATGCATGTTTGTGCATTCAATATTTTACAATAACATCATTATTAATCAAAAAATTTAAAAACTGTCTTTATCTTAAAATTAATTCTACATATGAATTTCTATCAGACGATTTAAATAAAACAAAGATTTACTTGCCTTTGCCTTAACATCCTATATTGCTTGGGACGATGAGAGAAAATTTTGTCCATTTTTACGAATATCAAGTATCTGTTTGAATACAATTCCGTCTTTTTTCAGAGTTTCTAGAGTGATTTTATTATAAACCAAACAAGTGCGTGCAAAACTGCAGGAAAGCGTTTGGATATCAGCAAAATACTCGGTAAAACATCACTTTTCATGATAACAATTGCACGTTGTTCCCATATTAAATGGAACAATATTTCACGCAATCGTTTTCATTAAAAAGCGAGGTTCATTACGAATGTTATTTTTTGTCCTTTTAATATTAATTGACATTCTAATTACTTGGAACCTTGTTGACTGCATTGTAGCAACCGCTAGTGATATAACGCCGCCTAATGATACAAATATCATCAAACAAAGTTTCAGTGCTAGACTTAATGTCATAAATCATTGCATTAATAGTTACCATGCTCATTCGCTTAATGATATAATTCTTTCATTAAGCGGCGATTTAAAAATAGTGGTTGAAAAGGTCAACCATTAATGCAATAATTTATGGCATTAAGTTACAACCCTTAATGACATTTGTTTCATTAAGCGGCGTTATATCATTAGCGGTTTCTACACTGCATATCTGTTTGAAAAGACGTGATTTTCTTGCCACTAAATTCACCTTGACGACTTCATATCACTTGTCTTTACTAATTCCTTAAATATGATTACATAATAATATAATTACCACTTAGGATTATGTAAAATATTAAAAATATGGGTTTGCTTTTTTGGATGGATGTAGATGTGCTCATATAACAATTCTTAGCAAAAGGCTCTCATGTACCCTGCTTTCTATCATGTTTTAAATTTTCAATTTACCGGGTGGCAGTTAGAACAAAATTTACAAAATGCTGTTCATTCAAAGTTTACCGAGAGGAAACAAGTACAAAATTTACAACATATACTGAAAATTTTGAATTTACCCTGTGGCATTGAGTATAAAATTAATAAATGTTCCAATTTTAGTATTTTCTACCACCCGGTTAATCAAAATAAGTTTCAAAAAACTTTAATATCTAAGAAATCTAACAGATATACTGTGGCATGAAAATATATATTATTTGTAAAATGTTACCTTTGATTGCATCTGTCATACAATATAGATTTGTCGTTAATTTAATTTTTTATGTTGATGATCAGTCATTTTCAAAAATGAAAAATAATTTTTCGGGATGACCAATCAAAGTTTAACCTAGAAATGTCAAGAAAAAAATCTTTAAAAGTTCTTCTCAAGATCAGCAGAGCCATGCTTGGCGATATTTACATGGAAGCATCCTAAGGTAATGTAGATTCAAGTTTGTTCAAATAATAACCCCCAGGGGTTGAGTGGGGCCACAATGGGCAATCAAAGATTTACATAGAAATATATCGGGAAAAATCTTTTAAAATCTCTTTTTCAAGAACAGCAAAGCCAAGATTAGTGATATTTATATGGAAGCATCTGTCATGTTGTAAATTTTGAATTTACCGGGTGGCAGTAAATACAAAATTTACAACATGTTGTCATGTTGTAAATTTTGTATTTACTGCCACCCGGTAAATTCAAAATTTACAACATGACACATCCTTAAGTTGTGTTGTTTCAAGTTTTCCAGACCCACAGTGGGAGGGTGGGGCCATAATGGGCATCATGTTAAGTCATATTGAAATGTAAGTGTCCTCATGTAGTTAAGATTTGTTCAAACCGTGAGTCCTGGGGGTAAGGAGGGGCCACAATGGGGGATCCAATTTTTACAAAGTTATATTTAGGGAAAATATTTTTTTTTTTAAATCTTCTTAAGAACAGCAAAGTTATATGAAATATCGATATGGAGGCATCCTCAAGTAGCATAAAATTCAAGCCCTCTCCTACAAGTAAGCTTTTCATTACCCAACTGATTTCTGTTTTTTCCTAGCTGATGTGCTCAGGTAAGCGAAGTGGCCGCGGGCTTCTTGGTAATTTATGATTCTTCATTTTACTTAAATTAACCATAAATCAGAAATTTTTTCACCCGCTTTCGCGGGCATAAAATCGTCTACTTGTCAGTGACAGTCTGTCCATTAGTCGCAAAAACTTAAACCTTGGTCATAACTTTTGAATGAGAAGACATAGGGCTTTCATATTTCTCAAGTATATTACCTGTGTAAAAACCTTTTCCGAATATACAATGATTTTTTACCAACCCTGTGACCTTGAAGCATGATTATATTATATCATAATTATTATATTATATTATATCATAATTATATAGAATATTAATTGTCATACAATTGTAAGGATACTAATCGTCATTTATATATTTTATTTGATAAATGCTTTTCTAATAGACTACTAGTTAATTTATAAAACTTGGATGAAGATCATTTAATGCCAAGAGGTGGTAATTTTGTGTCATACAAATGAATTCTGAATGGACAATGCCTTAATTAATTGAAAGCTCTTGTGATCACTTTTGTGGCATTAGGAAAATAAATATTTATATAATAAAATCTATTGTATGAGAAAATATTATTCGATTTCAACATTTAAATTTTACTACATTGTAAATGTCAGTTTAATTCTATAATTTAAAATTACCCTTTGCATAGGTATCGCAAGCAATTTGAACGAAGAGGGGTCTTATTGAAAGAGTGTGTGTTTGTGTGTTGGGGGGGGGGGTACCAGCAAATTAAGGGTAGGCCCCAATTTTCAATGCTATATTATATGTCTATCTTTGCAACAAAGTTGGGGGTTAAGCCCCCCCCCCCCCCTCCGCCGGTTCCAGTGCCTATGCTTTGGTTTCAGTTACATAAGTAGAAAACAAAGAAAACTGGAGTGTCTACTTCGTAAAGTGAGCCTACTAATATTTACACACACCAGCTGTTACAGGGGGTTTTATGCTTTACCAGATCTAACCAAAGAAATTCTAGTACGTGCTTCTGACTTTATTGTATAGAACCAGGACATAGCAAATGACTTCCTCATACAAAAGTACACGACAAACATTTAAAGGCTGAAGGAAGAGTCAAGTTCATGATTACGAGCAACAAAGCGTTTTTTAAATGTCCATTGTAAGAGGTTTTTACAGGAAGCTGATTAAATCAAATATCGAAAAAGCCTTGCAAAAAAAAAGAGACAAGGACAAATAATTTCAAGGATAATAAAAAATAATAAGGAAGTTGAGTTTATTATTCTTTTGTTTATTTTGTTTCGAGTCTCTTGCTGATAATCAATATCTCTGCGCTTATTGCATGGATTTAATTTAATCTTATCTGAGAATCCACACATACAGTTGATTCCTAGATCCGCCCCTACTTTCGATCAGATTAAGATATAAAGCTTGCCCTTTAACGATTGAGAAGTGGTTAATCGTAATTAAAATATTAACAGCAGCAGCTGTACCGGTTTAGGAAGGGCGGAAGAGAGTTGCAGGGATCGATCGGGCGTCTTAATGTAAATAAATATTTTTCATTTCTTCTAAAAGGTTTAACGTACGACAAATAGGTCACAAGGTACAAATATCAAAAGAAAAAGGAATATGGAAACATAAGTAATTCTACATTAATACACATTACTACCGACGTTGAACGCAAGCAAAACTGGCATAGCAAACAAGAAAATCGGTTATATGTGATATTTAGTATGATTCTTGCAATACGACTTTCTCTACAAAATGTTAATCTCAAGTTTTACATGAAATCAGAATTAATATCAAAGACACCTTATATGAAATCATTAATATCAACGACACCTTATTTCCATTTAAAGATCAATTTAACTTCATGGTCTTTGGAGAAATGAAGAATGAAAAAAGTTCAAAGAATATAGCAACAGATAATTATAAGATGTAGGCAAATGAGATTAATTGATGACATATACATTGAACGTATTCTCCAGAGATTGTGGACGAAGTTTAACAATAACTTAATGTCAATCAATTACTCTTATTCAAGCATTCTCCATACAAGCAAATTGAATCTTGATCTTTAAGCAAATGATCTACAGATGCGATTGATTACTTAAAAATCAATAACATTATCACACTTAACAAATTATGCACGCATGCTGAACAGCTGATGATACTATATGTTCAAGCCAGACCTCTAATCCATGCATTGCACTAGTTAATTTTTGCTGAGTATGGATGAAAACTTACCATTAAAACTAGCCGATGAAATTGCTTTCCTTCGTATAAGCATCAGTAGATAATAAATATCCCAAAATGATAATTAAGAATATTATCTAAAAACCCATGACGAGTTGCCGTTTCCGTATTTCCGTCAAGGCAAATCGAAGCCGATTTGGCGATGAAGCAGATCATAAGACATTATACATAGGTTTTAGTGTCAGGTTGAAATCAGCAAAATGGAAGAAAAAACTTGCAACATTGGCTTCTTGTTCTTCAAAACAGCATCAACACATTCATGCATAAATCACCCTCGAATTGAAAACGAGGCTGTGATCGTCTGCAGCTTCTGTTCTGGCGAACATAGAGAATGTGACAAACGCATACACACGACAATCAATATATGAGCAGGAGTCGGAGTTTTCCCATATCATTGATTTATTGATATAATCCTATTACACCTGATTACTTGTAAATTATTGACCTATATTTTTATAAATACAAGGGTGAAAATAGCTTGTATTTATAGATTATCTACCAGTATTTTTCTCTGATGTATCGATCGATGCTCTAGAACGGTAAGTGTAGGAGGAGGTTGCACAGAAAGCTTTTAAAACAGGTCCTCTGATGTTTAAAAGATAGCGTGTTTATCTTGTAACATTATAAGAACCTACCGTTGCGGAAAATTTTGCTCCCAGGCAGGAATATCTTTTCATCTACCCTATGATAATTAAAATAAAATAATATTTCAAATGGTTTGGTGAACCTTTTCCTTCTGTAATTGGCATTATAACACATGTAAACTTGACATGTTCAAGGTATTCAAAGGCCACAAAAGGGCAGATTGCAATAGGATCCAGTAAAAGTAAATCGTGCTTTTTATCATTTCATGTTTTGTATACTTGTATCTTGTAAGACTAATTCTTACTTTACATATCCTGTAAGTTACTTAATCATGCTTCATTTTATTTTCATGCTTAATATATATATTTGTACATGAATCTTTTTAAACGATAATTCATGTTTTATTTGTAATTTCGTGTTTTATTTCACTTCTACAGTTAATTAACGTTTTACCTGTATGTATATCCTATATGCTATATTTTATATACCATGAACAGCAAGTGCATGTTCTTTTTTTATGTACACGATATTTTGTGTATAGTTGTAGAAACTATTGTAAATTGACTTTTCTTGATCCCCAGGTTTCGTGATATACCGAACAAACTAATATTCTCCATTTAATATTTTCTATTTCACAACACATTCAGATTCTTTTAGTATTATCTCTTATGTGAGATTAATTCTGCTCATGATCAAATTTTTCGATTAATACAAATCTAATAAATAAAGATTCCGCGTTTCCCTTTTTTTAACATCTACGTTTACAATCAAATACCCTGAAATTCAGAAATTGTTTAAAATAAAATTAATGGAATTTACGTATGAATCCTGGAATATTTACATTTCAATCTTGCATCATGGTTTGGGGAAAATCTGGAATACGACATGTACTGTCTCCTCTGACGAGAACCATCTCGGAAGACTCGAAAAATAAACAAGCCTGCTTATCTTTTTTGTTTACTTTCAATCTGCTACTTGTTAAAGAAAGGTTACAACTCTGCCCACGTCGGAGTACGGAAAAAAAAAACATGACATTCTGTTTCGTTTAATATCAGCTAACATGGTACATTTCACCCAAGGTTTCATTTCCCTCTCTCACTCACTCACTCATTCAATTCTACGTACTGTATGTAGCATATCTAACTGAAGGGTTCATAGTACACATTAGTGTACTTTGCTGAAAATATTTATGCTACTACGTTTTGTTGCGAAGATGTGAAATAATTCAAGAGAAAAATAGCTAATAAAGACTTTTTTTTTTATTTATCCAACCATTTTTCCCATAACGTTATTATGCACTCACAAGTGCATGGGATGGGGTGTATGATTCAAAATCACTGCATGGATCTGTCTTTCTGTCCATCTGTCTCTGAAATTTACTTTGTCCAAACATGTTCTAAAAGACAAGCCATTGTTATTTTAGAATTTTTCTCTCCCAGAATTTGTACTCTCTATATTTTTTCTACAAGATATGCAGCTACTACCGGTATTTCTCTCCATTTTGCAGGTATATTTCAACTTGTGGACTTGATTGAGAAGAAAGAAGATAGACATTTTTGTCAGAGTAAAACTTTGATATCCCAAGAGTAGAAAGAGGAGGCTCATACTTGATGGAAAATTTGCTTATGGCCAAAGGTTATCTGGAATATAAACCTAGTAAGTAATTTTTGAACAAGATCAAGGAAAGAGAAATCCACTAGCCCCCCCCCCCCCCCCCCCCACCCTCCCCCGAAGAAAGTAGAAGCTTTTCAAATATGGATTATTAGTCCTTGCCTTTGTCATAACTTCAAAGTCAGGATCAAGGATAGAAAGGAAAATTCACAGTTCAACGTATTTTTCCAAGAGTTTTAAAAGCTGAAAATTTCTGAGGATTTTTGAAAAAGAGTTAAATTTTTTTGGTGACAATTTACACGATTAAAATTTCTAAACTACATTTCCCTTGAAAGATGTATTTGAAAAAATATCTGTGCAGAAAATATAGGCACATTTGCTTATGATATGTATTTTTAAAGCTTTAAAGTTTACTTCCTTACTGCAATTCGATACGACTTTAGCAAATCTTATGTCCTCTAATAATGGAAAATATGAAATTCGATCAATGGGAATGCACACGTTTTCTGTTGAAATTTGATCATCGATTTTTTTTTATTTCTTTATTTAAAAAGACAAAACAGACAGTTTAGTTTTAACGTATATTTTATATTGTAGAAATTTTGCTATTGGGATTGAGGAAGAGTTTTGAAAATTTAGAAAGTCTGTTCCTTATATTTCAGATATTAATGTAGCAATTCACTTAACACATGGACTAGAGTTAGACACATGGAAAGTGAAATGTTACAATAATCTTTATTAAGTATCTTTATAAATTGATATTATTATAATTTTACAGTAGGGTTTACACGTTACTTTGTTTATTACCTTAAAAATAGAGAAGATAAAATCAAATACGCCCTATTTATAATGTAGCAAATATATTTTTGTGTATTCGTATAAAGCCAAATTTAATCAAATACTTATACATAAGATGAAAACATTTGCTTTTACCTTCACATCGGCATTTAGTATTTCGATAACGTACTATCAGTAGTTATTTCCCTTCACCTGTCTCTTCGTTATATCCCAGTGATCTTGGAATAAATTGTACTACAGAGTCAGACAAATTTATTTTGTCTATGGTCCATTAAAAAAACGTTTATAGAAATATTACAAATTTTTTTTGATAAACTTGATGACTACAACTAATTTTATCGTGAACTTCCCTTACTATAATGTAGCAAATTACCCTTATCACCTGCATAAGAAGGTAATAAATCTCAATTGATTTGATACGCAAGCGAATGCTTTGAGTATTCTTTCAAAAATACTATAGTAAACTAGAGTTAACCATGAAAAGAAAACAGTTTTTACTGTAGTAAATCAAAGTTTTAAAGATTAATAGTTAATCAAAGATTCAAGTTTTTACTATTATAATAGTTACTCAAAGTTCCAAAGATTTTACTATACAAAATCAAAATTCTAAATGACTTACTATAGTAAACCAAAGTTTTAAAAAACGACATCTGCATTGAATTCATTTTTTTTTTAATTTGCGAACACACATGTACATATACAGTTCATTTCTTCTACATTATTTTTTTAGAGAAGGGGTCGGGTTTATAAAAAAAATTTCATAGCTTTTATGAATTTTGACCATGAAATATAATTAAATATCAAGAATGGGAATCAATACATTGTTACCACGGATTCTCTAGAGTAAATCAAAGTTCTAGAGATTTTTTTTTTATAGTATATCAAATTTTACTACTGTTTATAATCAGTTCCAAAGTTTGCTTCGATGAAATATGAGGAGATAACAAACATAAAAGTCCATTAAACATTACAAATCAGGAGCAAAACAAACATGGACCTCTAAAGCATCAGATGTGGGATCAGGTGTCATTGAGGAGTGATTATCCCCTGCCGACCGGTCACGGCTGCCTTGTACTCCTTGCCATAATCGGGAAGTAACGGAAAGATCCGTCTTCAATTCAGTGTGTAAATAATGGATTAACAGTGAGTATGAAAAACGTCAGTCAGCATTGACTAAATGATAACTTGTAATTGCTGACAAGGTCATTAAATCGATTATAGAACTTAAGAATGGAGACTTTAAACGGAACTGCTGTTATTCATTTTTCATCAAATTGTTTGTTAATAAGTAACCTCGTTTTGGAAATTGCCTATTCTTACAGCATGCTACTGCATATATCGAAGCAACTGTGCGGATGACTGGGGAATATTGCTGCTTAAGTAAGGGAAGTTCACGATTTAAAAGTTAATGTCATTACGTTTATCATAAAGCATCGTTGTTAGATTACCAATATTTCTTTTTCTAGTATAATATCCAAATATGAAACAGATGTGTCAGATTCTGTGGTGTCTTTTATTTCAAACTCACCGGAATATTTTTGTAGACAAAAGAATGAAGCTATTGTTAATATACATCACGTCGTCGATATATCTAAAAGTCGAATTGAAGTCTCGCGCCGCGCCAAAGCTATACAATTTCTTGACAGACATATCCCTCTATTAGATATAGCTAACCCATTTTATTTTTTCAGTTTTATTCATAAAAACAAATGGACACAAAACATGACGACTTTCACCCTTTCATGGTCTAAAATCAACTATAATGCAGTAGTCCTTGTAATTACATTATAAAGTACCATAAGATTAATAACTATTGAAACTATTCAAAGGCATCGTATATATGGGTCATTTTCAAAAAATGTCCAAATTCCTGTTATACAAGCTTTTTTTGAAAATTTTGCAATAAAAATCACATTTTTTTTACCCGATGAATTTAACAACAATCTATAAGTGTAGAAAAAAATTAAGTGCGATTAAAAATTGACTTGAATACTGAAAAAAGTCCTTCAACCTGAGTAAAATTAAAGAGAATTGCTTGTGATTTGGCCGGATGTTTGACTTCAACTCTGATTATTGATGTAGTAAATATAATTAAGCAGTGTAAAATGACCTTTATTGTGTTGTACATGTTTAATACTGTCTAAATGCATGCTAAAATGTGATTGAAAAAGAGTAAGAATATGATTTTTTTTAAGTTAAGTGTGTGTTATTTTGGCCGTGTCCTTGGAGTTACCAGAAAATAAAAGTTATCTGTAACAGTTATCTTTCCTAAAGAAACTCTTCACTATCAGCCTCCTTCTTTTGGTCTTGTTCCCGCCAAAATATCATGAGACACTTTACACAGATCTTTTATACCATAGGCACAATATGTGGTTGAAGGCAAGTTTGATTGCAATAGTAATTTATTTTTGAGTCCTAGGAGTTACTTCGA